AATGAACTGATATTGTGCTAGAGATTGTGTTTAATCTGTGGATAGATTTGGATAGCATCACTTTAATGATTTTAAGTCTTCCAATACACAAACATGGATGTCTTACTATTTCTTTAGCTCTTTAATTTCTTTCAATAGCATTGTGTAGTTTCCATAGTGTAAGTATAGCTGTAAATATTGAAGAAGAGTGATGAATATCTCATGGAATGCCAAAAGAACAGACAGGTTTTGGAGAAAGTACAGCCAGAGTGCCAGACAAAGATGAGAAAGTTTCATGTCATATACTTTGGGCATGTTGCTAGGAGAGGCTATTCCTTAGAGAGGGCCATCATGCTTGGAAATGTGGAAGGACAGTGAAGGAATGGAAAACTGTTGACAAGGTGGATTGACACAGTGACTGCAGATATGGGCTTAAGTGTGTCAGAGATGATGATGAGATCTGTTCAAAGTGTTATGAGTCATAATTGATGGGATTGCACCTAACAAAAATTTAAGTTTTGTACTATTTTAGTTAAATTCATTACTATCTTACTAGTTTTCATGGTATAACAGCTCCAGTTTGCTGGGCTCTACAATCTACACTCTTCATTCCAGCAGCCAGGAAATTAAAAAATGAATTGCATTGGGAAAGTCTACTGTAAGAGACCTCTCCAACATACTGAAGAGCCACGATGTCAGTCCAGAGACTAAGGTGCACCTAATACATGCCATGGTCTTGGCAATTATTTGCTATGCATCAGAAAGCTGGACAATGACTAGGGATGATAAAAACAGAATTGATGCCTTTGAACTGTGGTGTTGGAGAAGAGTATTGAATATACCATGGACTGCTAGGAGAACAGACAAGTTCGTCCTGTAGAGGGAGAAGCCAGGCTGCTCCTTGGAGGCAAGGATTCTAAAGCTTCACCTGACATACTTTAGACATGTTGCAAGGCGGGATCAGTCCTTGGAGAGGGACGTCATGATTGGGAGGTTGGAGGGACAGCACAGGAGAGGAAGACCCTTGATGAGATTGATTCAGTGACTGAGGTAATAAGGGTAGGTCAGAGACAGTAAGACTGGAACAGGACAGAGCAGGGTTTAGGGCTGTTGTACATAGGGTCGTTATGAGTCATGGGCGACTCAACAGCATATAACAACATAAAAGATGGATTGTTTTACTATTTTTTAGATTATTGGAAAATACATAGAAACATAATTGATTTTCATGTAAATGATCTTACATATTACAACTTCATTGAACTTGATTGTCAGTATTGTTTTGTGGATTCCTTAGGGCTTTCTGTATACAAGATTATGCCATTATAATTACAATTTTACTTATTTTCCTATTTTAATTCTTTTTAAAAAAGTTTTGATATTTTAATTAAAGTTTATAGAGAACTTGGATTTCCATTATTTGCATTTTCCTCCCTGCCCACCCCTATAGTTAGCTTTTCTTTGAAAAAAAAAATTCTTTCATTGTTCAATTTCCACCACCACCCCCAAGTCCACTTTGCTATGCAGCTCTTGTTCTGGACTGTTGTCATGCAAATAATACCTAATCACATATTTCTTTTATACAGTTCTTCCCCTCATCTGTTTCAATGCAGTGTACATTATTTATCCCCTTTTTCTAGTTTCCCCCCAGCCCCTATGTCAGTCGTTTTGTAACAGTGGCATTATGCAGTATTTGTCCTTTTGTGAATGAGATATTTCACTCAGAATAATGTACTCCAGCATGTACTCCATTTTGTATAATATTTAATGAGTTTCTTGTTTTCAGTGCTGCACAGGTTGTTTCCATAGTGAACAATGCAGCAATAAACACAGGTGTGCATATATCTGTTTGGGTGGCAGTTCTGATTTCTTTAGGGTATATTCCCAGTAGTGGAATTGCTGGGTCAAATGGTATTTCTATTTCGAACTCTTTGAGAAAGCACCATACTGCCTTCCATAGTGGTTGCACTATTTTACACTTCCAGTTTCTCCACAACCTTGGCAGCATTTGCTGCTTTAATCTTACCTTTAAACTCATTTGTCTAGCATCTACAGTATAATGATTAATAAAAGCAGCATAAGTGGACATTTTTGTCTTTCACGCCATCTGGTTTAGTATCAAAGTGACTCCAGACTCATAAAATGATTTGAAGGATGTGAGAGTTAAGGTTGGTTCTCAACTTGGCTGGCTGTAGGTTTCTAGTTTGGCAGTGATGATGTGATCATTCCTTTGTGTGTGTGTGTGTGTGTGTGTGTGTGTGTGTGTGTGTTGGTGTCATAAATTAGATACTGTAATTCATTAATTACATTAATCAGTGCCAAGAATGTGTATGAAAGCAAAATGCATATGAATAGTTCTTTAAAAATCTAATGCTTTATAACCTTGTACTCAGAAAAACAAAAAGTTGGAAATACTTTAAAAAAATATGATTTAGAATCAAGCCTACCCTATTTTTTTTAGCTCATCGTGCATTATCTCATTTTTTTTACTTTACTTTTTTTTAACTGAAATTTTAATGAAAGTTTACAGACAACTTGGATTTCCATTAATTCTTTATTGCATTTTCTTCCCTTACCACCCCCCAGTTAGCTTTTCTCTTTCAAAAAGAAAATTCTTTCATCATTGCATAATTTCTTCCCTCTCATCCCCCCCCAGTCCTCTTTGCAATGCACCTCTTGTTCTGAACTGTTGTTGTACGTATAATGCCTAATCATATATCCTTTTTAAACAGTTCTTTCCCTCGTCTGTTTCAATGCCGTGTACATTACTTATTTATTATTAGGTCTGCTTATTCCAATTAGGCCTTAATGTTTCTGATCAATAACCTTTTACAGCTTACTTTTGCATTTTTGTGACTTTTTCACTAGAACCAGTAAGCTACTTTCTTAGACTCTTTTAGGATCACGACAGGAATTAAATGCAAGGCCTATAATACCAATTTTAAACAAAATGTTGTTTGAAACAAGTACAAAGTGTGGCAGCAAGAATTCAAGGTCAGAGAGTTGTCTAGTCTTGAATGGAGAAAGTAACTGGAGACAATAAATACCAGAAAAATGTGTATATCATAGATACACAGCAAAATGGCCTGAGTTGAAAAGAGTAAAATTGGGGAGCTCTGGTGGCCTAGTGGCAAGAAACTGAACTGCAATCCCAGAGGAACACGGTTCGAATCCACCAGACGCTCTGCCGGAGAAGGAGGCGCAATATCCTCCTGTACCAGTCAGATCTGATTTGACGGTACACGTACACAAAATTAAAAAAAAAAAGAGTAAAATTATTTCTTAAAGAAAACAAAATCACATTACCTCTACTACTAAAACTCCGATTAAAGCAAAGTTTCTGACAAATGAAAAAGAATTCCCAGAGTTCAAGGTGGGCTTCACCTGGATTTCTTACTTCATAAAAGAAATTGCCTTTGTACAAGAATGAGAACAATGGTGTTGACAGCAACTTCTATTTTAGCATATGTGCTGCCGAAGCGAGCATGGCAGCAACTTCTAGATGACTGGAATGTGATGATAATGGCCTATTTTAAGGTGAAACAACAACTATTTACAGTGACTTATTTGTTAATTTCAGACACTAACAAAAATTGTTTTAAGATTTGTGAAAGTAATAAAGAACACTTTGTTCTTGTAGATAGTTGTTGTTGTTAGGTGCTGTTGAGTTGCAGATGACTCACAGCGACCCAATGAACGAACGGCCTGAGCACTGTTCGTACACAGAGTTTCTGGAGGGCAAGCCATTTCGGAAGTGGATGCCGTTCCTGCTTCCAGGCTTGTTTTAGTCGGGACGCTCCAGCCAACACTGTCCACCATGGGTACCCATTATCATGCCAGTGTCACAGTGTTCAGCATCACAGCAATCACAAGTTACCTTTGTACAGCAACACACAGACCACTGCTATACCACCTAGAAGAATGTTTGGCAGGAAAACAATGTGAACTCGGCATGAGTGCTGCAGGCCCGAGAGCCCTTTGGGGATATGCTTAGAATAATTTCTTACTAATTTCTAGCTATTTGTGCATTCACACTCCTTGCTTTAAACATGGTGTCCTATTTCCATTGCAAATCTATTCAGTTCTCTGTTGGTTGCACATGATTCAGGAAAATACCAATCATAAATGAAGTTTCTAAGAGATCAGTGCTAAAGAACTCTTAAATCCACTGTACAGGAAAAATTTAATTTGACGTAAGCAGCATGTAAAGATTATTGGTACAGTTCACTACTGAAAATAACATGTGGCGGTTGTTCTGTGTGCATTATTTACATTACAAATAGGTATATTTCAGCAAAGATAATTTAATCATGGTCCTCAGGGTTAGGGTTGGTTTGGTTTTTTTTTAATTTGTTCCATTCTTCAAACATAAATATTAAATATTTATAAAATACACTTCATTTTAAATGTGTTAAATACAAAACACAACTGGAGCACAAAATAATGCATTATGATCACATCAATACATTTATAAAAACACAATAATGAAAAATTAGCAGCTTCAAGTAAATGAGAAATCCTATGCAAAGGCTTGCCCACAAATTTTAAACAGAAATAAAAACCATAATGTCAATTAGTGTTACTCTTCTGGTAGTAAAGAATACATTTTCAAATTTTAGTAGTGGTATCAAAGTTAAATTAACTGGATTGAAAATAACAATCCAATAACTTCAACTGTTAGAAAATTTCTGACTTTCTAGTTGACAATATAAATGAAAAATATGCCAAAAATGTACATCACCAGTAACAAAAAGTAGATGGGGCACATAGATTTTTTTTTTATAAATTTAGGATTATGTCAGTTATTACACATGTCATAAATTCATCTTTCTGGCTCAATGACAAGTGTACAAAACTGTGATTCCTATATAAGAATCACATATAAAGTCAAAGTACAAATATTTTCAACAAAGCAACTAACCTGCATATTTTTCCTTAAAAAGAAAAAATATAAATCAGATTTTTAACCTAATAAGTGAAATTCAAAATTCAAAGTTTTGTAGCTGCATTTATCTTCCTTTTCAGCTGAAAGGGTGAAGCACAATAGCCACAACCTTGTTACAGACTAAAATCCAACAAGTAATCCCAACACCACCTGAAAAACAAAACAAAGACATTCAATGTGAGACAGCCAGCAAACAGCTCTGCCCGCATTTTCTGCCTGTGTGTCCCGTAACTTTCAGGAAACAATGATATGTTCATAATGGCCTTCTGAGTTGTTAACTAAGAAAAGCTAAGTGCGTATTTTGCAGGCTTGACTTTGTTAGGTTTTCTAATGACTTCTAGGGCTCAGTTCTTACAAGCAAGAGTCACAACAGATTTCTCTGTGCTACCAGACAGATGTACTTTACGTTTATTGTACTAATGGATGGAGGACCTTCCAGCAGGCGTTACTAAAGGTCAGTGACACTGGAACACTGGGGTTGGTGTGATTCAGTGCAGTAACTCAAGGTGTCACCACCACCAACATCCAGAGATCTCCATCAACACCAGAACATACAGAATTCTTAGTCATGTATATTATCAATTTTCATCACAAAATAATACATGATAAAATTGTAAACTGCTTACATGTAATAGTTCTTGGACTACTGGCTTGTAAAATCCTCTTATATATGCATCACATTCATCACACATTAGAAAAACCCCTCATCATTTGAAAGTTCTTTTATGCCGCTTCTCTTTGGACGAGACCAATGTTAGTATTACCACCTCTCTTTGCTAACCAAAAGAAATCCAAAGAGGACTTTGGTTTTACAGAAGATGAAAAGCAAAGCTGGCATTCAGCATTTCTTTTGCAGTGAGCTTGCAGGCCAGCAGCACGCACTCCACCAGTGGTGATAGTATCACCAAGTTCCTTGCCCAGCACTGAGCTCAACATCTCAGCATCAAACCACCCTAGCTTTGAACTGTGTCTGTGAACACTGTATGTAGTAGGTGTTATTTTAGGTTTTGTGTGTTGTCTGATATGATTAGTTGGGATTCTTAAGGTCTGGGAGCACTCAAAACTGTTTCCCATGCATGATAATTGCTTCCTTGTCATTCCGGTTTAAGAATTTCACAGAGTTGATCTCTGCAGAGTCGCTGTGAGTCTCCTGCTTCGGCAGTGAATGGACAAAGCCTGCACTCCGCAGTCTCTCGGGCCACCATGACGACAAGATCCCCTCCACAGAAGTGCCAGAACCATAACCTCAACTCAGAAGTGCTATCAACTTCCAGATCAACCTGCATGCCATACCTCCTATGTGTCCACGTTTTACTACTTCAACTGTGATGTGACTTCAAAGGATGTTCCCAAATATTTTCTTCGCTGAGCTCATCAGGAACAGGAACACGCTGAGAACTTGATTATAACTTCAGAACCAGTGGGGTCACTGGATATTTGAAGACATCAAGAAATCTGACCTTGATGACTGGAAAAGTGAGTGAATGTAATGGAGTGTGTGTCACACTTGGGAAAGTGTGACTCTGTCACTACTGGAACTGCACAAACTGGCCACTGACAAGAATGACCACACACTCCTATTTGTGTTACTTCATTGAGACCATCACCCTAATGAGCAAGTGAAATCCACCAAAGAACTGGATGACCTTCACACAAGGACAGCCTCAGGATCTGGCCTGACAAGAGTATCCCTTTGACAAGCACACCCTGGAAGACAGTGATGGTGAGAATGGAGATAAGCTTTAACCTGGCTTTCCCATAGCCACAGGGGTGACTGTCAAGGTCACCATGATGCAACAGATGCGTTGGATTGACTTCTACCTTTTCTATACATTCTATCAGAATATTCAGTTATATTTGTACCACTCCTTCTGATAAAGTGATTTAGTACTCAACAGCTGGCTCAGAGATCTTGAGGTGGGCTAGAAATCTACTTAAGCTATCTTGATCAAAGTCTTTAGGCACCATGGTTTCTGCTTCATCACACTTAATAAAAGGAAACCTGTAAGGATTTATATTTATTAAACTCTAGCCTGAGGAAAATGAAGTTTTCACGGGAAATGTTCTCATTTTAAGACATCAATCAAGGGGGAAGCTGCACTAGTCACTGGGTGGAAGTATTTTGAAAATACTTTTCTCTTTTTCTTTACTATGTAATTCTCAAAAAAGATAAGAGGTTTACAAACACTTGTTAGATGTCATTGAGTCGAGTATGACTTATAGTAGCAACTCTATGAACAAAAGTTCTGAACCCTGTTCTATCCTGCGCCATCCTCACACTTCCTGACACAGAAAAGCCCACTGTAGCAGTCACCGCGTCAATCTACCTGGTTGAGTGTCCTCATCCCCTTTGCCGACCCTCCACCATTCCCAACACCATGTCCCTCTCCAAGGAGTAGCACCTCCTAGCAACATGTCCAAAGTACGTGAGGCGAAGCCTCATCATTCTTGCCTCCAAAGAGCACTCCAGCTGCACCCTCTCCAAGACTTATCTATTCTTTCTCTTGGCCATCCATGGGATGTTCAGTGCTCTTCTCCAACACCTCAGCTCAAAGGCTTCAATTCTTTTCCCGTCATTCATATTCATTGTCCAGGTCTCAGATGCATATCGAATAATCAGAAAGACTAATGGCCTGAAACAGATGCACCTTAGTCCCCAAACTGACATCACTACTCTTCAGTAATTTGGAAAGGTCCCTAACTGCAGATTTTCCCAGTGCAACACGTCTTCTTATTTCCTGACTATTCGTACCAAGGGTGTTAATTTTTCAACCCATGCCTGTTTAATCTATATGCTGAGCAAATTATCTGAGAAGATGGACTCTACGAAGAGTAGTGTGGCATCAGGATTGGAGGGAAACTCAACAATAACCTGCGTTATGCAGATGACACAACTTTGCTTGATGAAAATGAGGAGGACTTGAAAAGATCAAAGAATACAGCCTTCAGTATGATTGCATCTCAGTATCAAAAAAAAACAGATTCTTACCACTGGCTGTGTCAAGATGGATGGCAAGGAGACTGAAACTGTCAACAACTTCGTCTTGCTTAGATCCACAATTAACACAAACGCTATTTACCCAAAATACAATAGCTAAAATACCAGAAAACTTAACAAAACCTATGACTATAAACACTAGCAGCACATGCTTGTAGTGAGTATAGAAGTATCACATGATTTGAGCCTTATTATAAAATTACCAAAAAATTCTAATTACATGTAATTTTAGGTGCAGTCGAGTAGGACTCATAGCGACCCTATGAGCATGAGATTGGAGCCCTGCCCTGTCCCATGCCATCTTCATCATCTGTCACACTAGAACCCACTGTCACAGTCACTATGTCAATCCATCTCATTGGGGATCTTCCCCTTCTGAGCTGACCCTCCACTTTTCTGAGCATGATGTCTGTCTTTAAGCACTCTCTCCTCCTAACAACATGCCCAAAGGATGTGAGATAAAGTACCACCATCCTACCCTTTAAGGAGCATCATGGCTACACTCTCTCCAAGATGTAACTGTTCATTCTCTCAGTAGTCCATGAGATTTTAGTGCTCTTCTCCAGCACCACTAAAAGGCACCAATTATTCTTCTGTTGTCTTTATTCAGTGTTCAACTCTCAGATGTACAGCAAGTATTTGAAAAGATGATACCTTGAATGAGGCACACCTTAGTCTTTAAACTGGCATCTTTGCTCTTCAGTACTTTAGAGAGGTCCCTGACTGCTGACTTTGAGGACTAAGGTGTGTTTGATTCAGGCCATGATCTTTCTCAGATGTTATGCATCCGAGAGCTGGACAATGAATACAGATGACAGAAGAAAAATTGATGTCTTTGAGTTGTGGTGTTGGAGCACTGAACATCCCATGCAATGTCAAAAGAACAAATAAATTTGTCCTGGAGAGGGTGCAGCCAGAGTGCCATTTGGAGGCAAGGATGATGAGGCTATTCCTTGGGAGAGGGGCATGATGCTTTTCTAAAAGTGGAGAGTCAGAGAAGGAGAGGAAGACCCTTGACCAGGTGGATTGACACAGTGACTGCTGCAATGGGCTCTAGTGTGTCAGGAAGTGTGAAGATAGCACAGGGCAGGATGGAGTTCAGATTCACTGTTTATTGGATTGCTATGAGCCATACTTGACTTGACAACACCTATCAACAACAATACATCTCCTAATCTCCTGACTGCTGTTAACAAGGTTGTTGACTGTGGTCCAAGTTGGATGAAATCATTGACAATTTCAATCTTTTCTCTAGCTGTTGCCTATTGGCCCAGTGGTGAGGATTTTTGTTATCTTGATGTTGAGATGTAATCCATTCTAAAAACTATAGTTTTTGATCTTTTGCAGTAAGCTATTCAAATGCTCCTCACTTTCAGCAACCAAAGTTGTGTCATTTACATAAAAAAGGTTTGTTAATGAGTCTTCCTCCAATCCTAATACCAATTCCTCTTCACAAAGTCCAGCTTCTCAAATTATTGTTCAGCATATAAATTAAACAGATATGGAGAATAGATAGAGCCCTGATGCATACCTTTCTTGATTTTAGAACTTGCAGAGTCTCCTGCTCTGTTTGGACAAAATCTTTCTGATCTAGTTACAGGTTTCCAGTGAACACAATTAAGTGCTCTGGGATTCCTATTCTTCTAACGTTAACCTTAGTTACTTAAGATCCACACAGTCAAATGCTTTTGCATAGTCAATAAAATACAAGTGGACATATTTCTGGTACTCCCTGCTTTTAGCCAAGATCTATCTGAACTGTGCAATGATATCACTGGTGCCATGGCTTCTTCTAAATCCAGCCTGAATCTCTGGCAGTTTTCTATCAATACACTATTCTAGCCATTTTTTAATAATCTTCACAAAGCTCTTTCTTACATGTGCTATTAGTGATACTGTTTGATAATTTCCACATTCGACAATCTTCTAGTCAGTCGGCCAGGTATCTGTCTTACAAATTTCTTGGCAAAGACTCGTGAGCATCTGTTTGTTGAAACATGTCAGTTGGTACACCATCAATTCCCACACCCTTATTTTTTGCCACTGCCTTCAGTGCAGCTTGAACTTCTTCATCACCACTGGTTCCTGATCATATACAACCTCCTAAAATGGTTCTTTGTCAACCAATTCTTTTTGGTTCAATGACTCTCTG